TATGAGAGATTAACCAAGTCAGACAGCTGGAGAAATGAGAAAGACAGACACAGGGAGAGAAAGAGAGAGAGAGAGAGAGAGAGAGAGAGAGAGCGAGAGAGAGAGAGAGAGAGAGAGAGAGAGTATAGAGCCCTGCTGATGACATCCTGTGTAAATAAAAATTATGTGTGGCCACAAATTAGTAAGACGTGGAAACAAAATAATTAAGTTGTGGCCACGACTTAGTAAGGTGTGGGAACGAGATCCTAATGCATGGCCACGACATAGTAAGATTGTTTCCACACCTTACTATGTCGTGGCCATGACTGAATTATCTCATTCCCATGCCTTAATATGTCATGGCCACGCATTGGGATCTTGTTCCCACGCATTAATAAGACTTGGCCACGCATTATTTTTAGCTATATGGGATGTCACCAGCAGGGCTCAGTAAGAGAGAGAGATGTATGGATGTATGGAAGTATGGATGGATGGATGGATGGATGGATAGATAGATAGATAGATAGATAGAGATAGATAGATAGATCTTATTAGCAATAGTAGTAGTGAAGGTAGGTTGTAGTAGTAATACTAGTTCAAGAACTAGCAGTAGTAGTAGTAGTAGCAGTAGTAGTGCTAGGTAAATTAGTGGGCGCGCCAGACTTTGAACTTTACTTCTCTGGGTAGGGAGTTACAACAAAGTAATAGCCATGACTATGAGGCGTCTGCTAAGTGTTGATGTTAGAACAGGAAAAATTTCTCGTAACAGAAATCTAAATGTAACTCGCTTGTCATTTTTAGCGAGTTCATTTTGGTTTGTGATTTGCAGTATAGCAGTATTGGAAGCATTTTAATGTGGAAAGGACATTTGACCAGCCATTTTGGGTGGATCAACAACAAAACCTAGACCTAGCTGCGCTGGAGCCAGTCATGTCACCGTCACTGGTAGTTGTGTTATTCGGAATGGTGATGGTTACAATAGTTACAGCAGTACTGACAGCAGAATGAATGTTCACGAGCACAATAAACTGGTTAATGTACACCTGGACACTTTATGATGTCTCTGTTTCTGAGCTGCATCTCCACATGGCTTTTTCCGCATTGCACATCCTTCAGGTTCCAGTTTAGCAGGGAACTTTAATGGCATTTGCCCAATTAGCCTGATAGACACTGCTGCTGAGCAGCAGGTCAGACATGGTGTTGCTGAGTGTTCAGAAAAAAGAACACACTAAATCTGCCCTTAATGTAATTTGCCATCAAGAGGCCACACACGGATACACACACACACATGCACACATGACAAACTGTGCTCACACACCCTGACCTGATCATGCTGTGATGGTGATTAAGGCCTGAACTCAGAAGTGCTCTCCTATAGAGAGAGATTAGAGAAGAACAGAAAGCTAACATGCTCCCATCAAAGACCTACGCAGTCAGAGGTGGAAGCTGTCACATTCGTGATGGAAGAACACTCATACAGATAGCATCTGGACCTGTCTACTGTCTTATTAAGCCTACAGAGATCAGTCATCATGACTGAGCAAAAGATGAAGTAGAAATAGTTTCAGATGTTCAGGCACTGTCTGTATTTGCCTGTACTGGTGCAGCGAGCAAGACATGATTATAAACCAAGTAGCTTACTGAACCTAGAGGGACTAAGCTGTGAGAGAAATGCTGCCCAAGGCCAGTAAGAGGGAGAGAGAAGGAGGAAGAGGAGGAGAACCCAGCAGGGGAAGAGTCGTGATAATGTGCATGAGGAAATCCTCTGATCAATAATTCATACTGCTGTAATTACATACATCTGCCTCAGAGAGACAGACAGACACAGAGAGAGGGAGAAATGGAGAGAGAGTTAGGGGACTGTATGCAGTGCTCTGTTACACGTTATTGTATAAAATATTAAAACCACTATTGTGTTGTCAGAATGTAGGGCACAACTGACCATACTCAATCAGACCCATAATACAATGCAGTAGCAATTAGGAAAGAGACTGCTGATGCTAAATAGTTACTCATGCCAAATGTGCCACTTATTACATGTTATGTGCAGCAACTGTATTATGTATGTTGTACCTCATGGTCTCATGAGGTCCTTTGACACAAGCAGCTATGGAGGCCTTCACTCCCACACTCAAAAAAAAACAAAAAACAAAAGTAACTTTGAAGTCCACTTAAGATTTTTCATCTAAACTGAAAGAAGTAGCAATACTAAGTCAGAAGAAAAAAAAAACATGGTAAAACTCTTCAAGCCCTGAAATAATATTTTGGTGACACTTTATTTTGAGTCGTCCTTTTAGATGAAACAAACACTCAACAGACTCTCAGGAACATGTCAAAAACATACACGGGTTAGGGTTAGGTTTTGGTTAAGGTTAAGGTTAGGATTAGGGCCAAGGTTAGGGTAAGGTTTTGGGTAAGGTTAGGTTTTGTATAATGGAAGTAACATATTAAAAATACATCTACTTAATGTAAGTAATGTATCAACAGAACATCTACAAGATATTTATTTCAATGTGTTCAGATGCTTCACTACTGCTACTTCACTGATATATTGTTAATGTGTTACTGATACTCTGTTAAGAGTTTATTAATCATCCACAAAGGACCACTCCAAATAAAGTGTTACCAATAATTTAACAGTCAGAGGTGGTGGGTTAGACTTCACTGGAGTTTTTCAGAGCACATCATACACCTTTACATATTAACGCCACATGCACAGGCTCGAAAAGAAGGTCTGGCTCGATGTTTAATGTAAAATCAACATTATACTGACATATATGACAATAGTAGATCATTCACTCAGAAAAGATGTCCTTCACCAAGTTTTGACTGAGTTTTCTTTGAATACTCTTTCAATACTCTCGCAATCATAAGATCAGATTCATCTGGGGAACGAGTCAGAAGCAGAACCAATGTTACAAAATATTTTTCCACACATTGCATATCATTACACGTTTCCACCAGAGAGGCCTCCAAATCCCCAAATCTTACATAGTGCAGCATAATAAGAGTAAATATTTTAAGCTCTGAAAAAATTAAATGTAAATACAATTACTGTTTCTCAGTTAATGTGCAGTAGCCTATTATTTCCTGCACAGTTATATTTCTGTACATTTTCAGTCTTATAATTATTTTAAATATAGTGGCATTTTATTTATTTTGTCATTCATATGCCGTGAAAAAAAAGTAACTTCAAAAAAGCGCAACAATACACAAGTACAAAGTACAACAACTGTAATGAAATGTACGTAATACATTCAGGGAAGAATTATTGAGCAGGCCAGTGGGGCTAGTGCCCAGGGGCCTCTGTCCAAGATGGCTCAAAGTCTTCATATTACAGTAAAGAGAATACAGCTGCTTCTTCCTTCTCTAATGGCAGTTTTCTCTGTGCCTTTTGGTCCAATCATTTTTACATTTCTAAGCTCAGGTGTGCACATATTGCTTTCAAAAAGCCCCCTTTGACGGAATACAGGTGACACGTGCCTGAGATCCACAGCAGTTCCAGAAAATGGTAGTGAATAAGTGTGTGTGTATGTGTTGCAAACATGGATTGAAGAAAATAATTCACATAACTCAGCATGTAGCAGCCTGTCCAGCCCAATCACTCTAATGTTCAGCTGGTACCTTACATTCCTCTCATACAGAAAACAAGCCAGGATTCTTGATTATATAAGCCAAACAAATGATGCCAGCAGTTGTTTCATAGATGCCCAAACTTTTTGTCTTGGTTGGCCAGAGTGCAATGTTTGGGGTGGGCTGACAGCCAAAAAGGCAAAACAAAATACAAAAAGAAAGGAAGGTACATTTCAAATCAAGTTTTAAACAATATATTTTATACCATTAAATCATTTTCTATTACAAATATATATAGTTGAAATAAAAATAAATTTTAAATAGCATAAAAATATTTTTGTTTTCTCATTAGATGAAAGAAAGGGTGGGGTTAGGGTAACTTTCTGGTGGGCCAAATCAGACATCCTAATGGACCTGGTGCAATTCACATTTTGACCACTATAAAAGCAAAGACTGTGGCCCAATTTTTTTCCTTGTTTAACAAACCAGACCAGCTGAATTTTCACACACTCACAAAAAATCGCAAGTAAAAACAAAGCCATGACTTTTCACCGTCCCACACAAAATCTAGTTTGGTCAGATATTGAACTAATTGCATTAAAATTTGGCATCTGTAACCACCATGATAGCTACTGTGAAGTCAATGTTCTTATTAATGCAACACTTTTAATAGAAACTTTTAATGCGAGCCACAAAGGTTTGTGCTACTAAGGCATTCTTGTTAGCTCTAAATGCAATGTATATATAAACGTTTCTATAATTCTTGCCACAAACTCTTAAATTCAGCCACAAGATTAATTGGCTTGGTGGCCCGACAGGCCAGTGTAAATTTTATATAGGGATGCACAGTGATATCAGAATCATATTAGTTTTGGCACATACTTATTTAAAAAATCAGATGTTTAAATCAGATCAGATGTTTAAATTTTACCAACATAGTTTTTGTACTCTAGAAGAGCAGAACATTTGTGCTAAAATGTCTGCATTTCATTTTAATGTATTTGTAACCCTCTAAACCAAGTCTTACACTTCTTTGTAATGAATTTAGTCCCAATTTTACCGTATCAGCATTGGAATCAGCATCATCACGTGTACCTAAAAATATCAGATATCAGCATCGGCCCACAATTCCCACATCGGTGTGTCCCTATTGTTATATGTCTACTTCGTTCTTATGAAATACTAATGGACTGGATTCATTATAAAGAACAGCGCAAGTCAGTTATATTGCTGTCATTAACACACACACACATACACACACACACACACACACACACAGAGCATGCACCATCAACCATCCTGAGTACAGTCACACTGTGTTCAGTAACACTCTCTCTAACTGTCAGACATACGTGTACCTAAACACAAACAGTGTTCACTCACAAAGGGTAATATATGGTGAGGTGCAAAGTCCTCTCTCACTCTCTTTCTCTCTCTCTCTCTCTTACCCTTTCCTCACTGTTCCTCCTCAGGGTCCCCACAGGCAGCTTGAGGAGCAGTCTGCGGGTCCTGCCGGGGGTCACTGCTGCCTGCACCACCATGGTGCTGTGTGTCTGACCGGGAGAGTTTGTGTGAGCAATCAGTCCGGCACGAGCGGTGTGTGTCTGCTGTCCCGCCACAGACACAGACACTCTCTCCCTCGTTCGCTCCGTCTCCACGGCTCCCTTCTGTTCCACAATGATTCACTCCTTCAACCTCGCTCTATCACTCCCTAAATCTCTCTGCTCTGTGTTACCTCTAATCTTTGTTGTTTTCTCTCTTTCTCTCTCTCTCTCTCAGTCCTGTAATCTTCTGTGTGCTCTTCTCTCTGCCTCGCTCAGCCCATTCTCCAGCAGCTCCACTGCTTCCCTTCGAGGTGTGTGAGTGTTTCTTTCTTTCTGAGTGTGTAAGAGTGGGAGAGAGCAAGAGGGAGGGAGTCTCTCTGACTCTCTCTTCTCTCTCTCTCTCTTTCTTTCTGTAAGTAGCAATAGAATAGCTCCTGGCTTCAGTGCTCTAAATACGTCAGACGTGCTTCTCCAGTCAGGCTCAATCCAGGTCACTGGATTAATATGAGTATTATCACACACACACACACACACACACACACACACACACACACAGAAGGTCATGTGACCACACACACGAAGATGCATGTGTCTGTGTGTATGTATGTAAGAATGGCAACTTTTATATTGTATATTGTATAGTTTATGATGTATATTGTACATTAGACTTGATGGGTAAAAACACTGTTTGTATGTGTGCTGCATACTGTTCAAATAGAATATCTGATGTTTTGCCATCTGCTGTTCAGATTAGCTTTAAATCCCATGGTCGCTTTCACCAGACACTCCACACACACACATAAAGGGAAAATACCCCCGAGCTGCCAACAAGATTACACACAGGGGATCACTGCATGCATGTGTGTGTATTTGCGTGTGTGTGTGACGTTATAGCCCATCTTTCACTGCGGTAACAAAGGGGCAGAGTCTTGTTAGAAGCGCCAAAACAGTATGGCATTGTGTCTCCCTCTCTTTACCTAAAAGGGAATTCCATCCATTATTTCAAAATCTCAGAATAATTAAACGGCTAAGATGTAAACACAGCCATTCAGAGTGACTTGATGTGAAATGCACCAATCTAGATAAATTTACCAAGTCAGAATTATTTACTGTGGTGATTGGAAACAGACACCTGAAGAGTTAATGCCACTAAAAGCAACATCACAGGAAGTTATTACATAAAATGGTTACTGCAAAGCTGCCTCCTGCCTGGAGACATTGCTTTACAATAGTTTTGAGATGAGTTTGTGGCCTAAAATGGAATGAATCAATGGATTAAACACACACAATATGTATATACATGTAATATATATATATATATATATACAAACATGTATATATATATATGACATGTATATATATATGTGTGTGTGTGTGTGTGATCTATTCATGGCATACAGGTACACGGAGGCCATTACAAGGCAAAATAATATTTATTCAGAACAATATAAAACAATATTTATTCAGATTTACCACTGTTCTAGCACTATGAACAGGTAATTTTGGAATAAAATGGCTATATTTGTGTTGCCGACATTACGACCTCTGGTTCCTATCATCACTACTGTAAAGGAAATCCAAGCTAGCAAGTTTCGTGGAACATTTTTCATCAAACTGAAATTTGGAAAAACTAGAGAAAATTCCTCCTTAATAAAACTAAGAGAATGGTGGACCTCAGTGGTTGTTAAACAGATCATATAAGTCAAAGCAGAGCAACTAACTATTAAATCATCAACCAACAGACTACATCACATGTCATATTTCTAACTAATTCATGCAAAGAAAGAAACCAGAATAGCAGAATGTCTGGAGTCTGCCTTTGTCTTTTATCCATCATTCTTTAAGCATACACTGTACAGACAATGCCTGAAGGATTTTCTGCCATAAATGCCAAACATATGCAGAATGGTATATTTAGGAGGAAATAAATGGCTACCTGGGGAGTTTTATACGCCTACTGACACTCAGCACAATGAAATCCCCCCCAGTTCATCCCTTATTAGTCATCCGAGAACTGTGTGCGTGTGTGTATGTGTGAGTGTGAGAAGGATTTTGATTGGATGTTAGCTCTTTTATTGTCTGTCAGATTAAGAAGGAGCTAAAATGAACAGCTCTCTCAGAATGGAGAGAGAGAGAGAGAGAGAGACAGAGAGAGAGAGAGAGGAGCCGTGTCCTCCTAATCCTCAATAAGCATCATTTATTCAGTAGTTGGCCTAGATTAGCAATATTAAAACGCTTGCTATTTTTACCCTGGTGGGTGGCTGCTGTAGTCAGAGTCATTCAAGGTTTGCATATGACTGCACTCAGCAGGCGGATTCTCAGTTCCCTTTTCCTGGTCCAACTAAGTGGAGGTAGCTGCTGTTACTGTCAGTCCTGCTGCTCAAACAAGCATGTGGATCTTTTATATTACTGTTTTAAGCATCAGGAAACTACTGCCTTTATTAACATGAATGTCTGGGGGGCTAAAATGCACGCACACATTTTTATATAGTGTCAGGATGTGGGGTTTTACATATGTCCTATATTTACTATATACACCATTGCTGTGGGAGCAAAAGCTCATATTTCACACTGTACGATCATGCCAGCTCCCCTTCACATTGTGTGAATATTTTGTGATGAATGGAGCAATAAGATGCTTTAAAAGTTTACTTTAAAAGTTTTTCTCCTTCTCCTGAAGTTACCATTTTGGAGACAATATTGAACTGTTAAACAGCTACAAAGAACTTCTTAAGTCTAACCCTATACCCAACCCAGCCTTGTTTTTTGGCTATTTAGCTTTAAATAATGTAAGACCGAGCTTTTGTAAAAATCACTTTACAAAGTCAGACCCTTTTGTTGGTTGCGATACTGTAGTTTAGTGCTGTTTTACTCCTGTTTTCCAACAAAAAGGGGACATTTTTTACCTGATAATGTACAATAATGAACAATACACACAGACCATTTTAATCAGTAGACACCCCAGAGAGGTGTTTCTCTTTGGTGGCTCAGGAGGCTTAATGGTGATTTTCCTTAAATTCCTAAGAAACAGTATTAGTGAAAACAAGGCATGAGATACTTGATGAGAGTCTAGTAGCAGATTCCAATGAATGTTATTATCTTGGCTAATCTGAGCACAATGTGTGACTTTATTGAGATCTCTAAACATCAAGAAGAGACACTGAGATTACTGAGGTGTTTTTCTCAGGAGGAATATCTGAGCAGCAGGAGATTTAAACAATAGTTTCTTTTGTGTTTCTTTCTGATCTCATTGTTGTCTCGGAGAAACTACAGAGATATTAAAGGGTTTTGGTTATTCTTTCCTATGGGACTGGTAAACAAATGTCTTGCCATCCTCAGTAAATGAACCTGTCACACACTTGCAGTCTGGTTAAATGAATTTATGTTTTCCAACCAATACAATACCCCCACGAGCCCCTCACAGTAACACAACAACACGCTCTGAACACAAACTGTGGAGGGAGGGAGGGGGAAAGAGAGGGGGAGAGAGAGAGCAAGAGAGAGAGAGGGGTACTGTAGGCAATAGTGTAGACTAATTGAGTTGGTACAATGGCTGTAGCTGAACTGCTTTAATGGAGAAGTGGAGCATTGCCTCTGCTCTGAGACCCAGAGACCTCTCCTATTCACACAGCTCTCCACAATCTTAGCCCATGGCGATGTGTGTGTGTGCACTTTGTGTTTATGTTGGAGACTCAGAATTGGCTGCTATCCATAATGAGCATCCATAAATTAATATATCTGCTGTAGAATCTCAGAATCAGACACAAAAACATGCAGCATTACTCTGTCTCGTCTGGTCTCCCCCACTCCTGTCTTTTAGCTGCTGTGAGATTCCATGTGTGAATGTTTAAACATCTCTGTGAGATTCTTACTGTGGTGCCCAAAGTCTGTGTGATCATAAACAGAGTAATCAAACACATATTCACCACACATTCGTCATGTTGGGTGGGGAACAAATTCAAAGTATGATAGCTGTAGAGACAGAGAGGGGGGAGAGGGGGGAGATATTTGAAACAGACAGTGAGATATAGATATAGAGAGAGAAAGATATGACATGTTGCAGTTCTGAATAATTCACTTGGCAGAGTGAAGTTTGTAAAGCCCCTAAAGAGGCTACTGAAAACAAGCCCACGTAGAACACCAACTACTCAAACTGTACTGCGTGCACTATGGCAGTCAGGACCAGTAGAGACGAGTTCAAGCCAAGATTGTGGGACACAGAAACCAAAACTTTGTAGGAGTCAGATTAAGATTTTTTTTTGATTAGATCAAGTATGCGTTCAGAGAGACTGAATACGGAAAGAGGAGAGCAGTGACCTATTTTCCCCCATCAGTCAGGCTGAGTGCAGATTTCATTTTACATATGTGGAGAAAAGGTTTTCTTCTGTTTAAATGTGTTGTTGATAGTCAACAATGACAGTTAATAACAATAAACAAGTCCTACATGTGTCTTGTTTTTATATCATCGCTGTCCAAAGAAAAACAAGTATCTCCAAAACAGTAACTTTACAGGAGAGGACAAAATGTCAATGGAAAGAGATTTTTTCTAAGAAAAAATTGGAGCATTTCTATTGGTCCATTTATCATGAGATTTTCACACAATATAAAGAACAGCTGCCGTGCTCAAATGATATAGAAAAGTAAAAATCACAAAAATGGAGATACACGTTTTTCTTTGGACAGTGATGATATATAATGTTGAAAATGGTAAAAAATTGGTAAATCAGAAAAAAATGCCTTTCAACAGCCAGAATGTATCTCTCTGCCATGAATGGATCTTAAAAATATGTTTTAGGCCAACGCCTTAACCCAAAAACCATATGGTAAAACAATCATACCATAAATCAACCTTTCAGCCATCAGGCAACATATTAATAATGTATTTGTGTAATGACTTTCTGTGAGGGAGCTTTCAGAGGCATTTAATGCTTTGGACATCTGGTTCCCATCACCACCATTGTGAACAATTCTGACTTGGTAAGTTTGTCTAAAATTGAGCAAACTACTTCGAATGACTTTGTTTACATCTAACATTTAACTATACAGAAATAGTGAAAAATAAAAGGAATTCCCCTTTATCCTGAGATCAAGACAACACAAATAAAATGTCCGGAGAGTGGGCTTGAGTGCCACCACACTAATACTTGTCTATCAAATTAAGCCGAAAAGCATGTCTAACATGGTTATTGCTATGAATAAACTGGGTAGAAAAAGAAATTGGTATGAAGGTGGAGACATTTTGGATACAAATATGAGCATGGAAAATATGATGAGAGAGTTCTTTGAAAACAGGGAGTTCCCTTTTCCCCAAATACAAAACGTCCCAAAAAGGAGGACTTGCGTAACACTCAATCAATGCACATCGCCATCTGAATCAACAATAAGAAAATGGCCTATTCTACTGCACACAGCACCAAACATACAACAGAGAGTGAGAGAGAAAGAGAGGGAGAAAGAGAGAAAGAGAGAGAGAGAGAGAGAGAGAGAGAGAGAGAGAGAGAGA